CCAGAGGGTCTAACAGAATAAACAGGAATCCATAGCAGGGCTTGTCGGGAAATTTTTTATTGAAATTCAGTTGGCAATATAAACGTTAAAGTATAGAATAGCGTAAGCTAATATACAGCTGCAGGTTATATCATGAAAATGGTTGGATATAATTGTCTGGTTCAAACATTTAGGGTCGCTAAGCCCAGGCTGACTGTCATTTTTTTCGGGTGTGACACCCGAAAAAAATGGAAAAAAAATATATAGATATATATTTCAGCCTTCTCAAATCATACACAAAGGCGAGGACGATCAGAGAGAGAGAGAGATTGAGAGAATGAGGGAGATAGAGAGAGAGAATGAGGGGAGGGAGGGAGAGAAACACACACATACACACATGTACTAATTTCCATACGAAAGACAATTTACCCTAAAGTAGCCATGCCGGTTCCCGTAATGAAGTCCCATTTCCTCATGTTGCCCCTCTGCCTTTTTTTAGGCTCGGCCGCTAAAAAAAAATCTGTCGGGCCTCGGTATCAAGGCTATTTTGGTCCAAAGGATCGAAATATGGATCAGAGACAGACCTGTATTATCACAGACGTCGGCATTGACTTCATTGGTGATGAACCCTCGTTTCCCAAATGCAATGAATGGGCTGCCATTAGCGCGAAGACGTTAAACATCAAGATGTTTTTCTTAGGGCCTTTGGAACTTAACAAAAACTGGTGCCGTAACCCTTCATTCCAGAGCCCAGGACCCGGATGTCTCACCAACTCAGGTTTTATTAATTGCGAAATCAAGAAATGCGACGTCTTAACGAAACACAGGTCAAGTTATATCGGTACAGAATACCAGGGAAACAGCGCCTTGATCACTGGTTGCGGAGAATCCTGTCGCATTTACAACAGAAAGTAAGGAAATATATTTGGCCCGTTCTGCTTAGTGCCCACAAGGTCAGGCTAGATAGCGAAGCCATGTGATATCCCTCTCCTGGATGGCCTGCATATAAAGGCTCTTCGATATGGGAAATCGTACATGCTCCCAACGTTCGTAATTCCTGCAGACTTTTCCAGAGATATTATATACACTTCTTCTAAGGGGAGGTATCTATTTAAGATTCCTGAGACCTTGCAGCGAAAGGATAGCATTTCTATAGAGTTCAGAGTACGGGCCGTCTCTTCATTAGTATTCGGTGTAGGTTTGCACATAACTTTAGGGACCGATAACCATTTATACGACACCCATGAGATCTACATTGACTATAGAGCATCCCAGTTCAGTGTTGTCACTAGAAACTAAGCTCTTAGAGGTAATAAGGGTGGTCCCATGCCCATATCTGTCATGTACACATGGGTTAGATATAGGATGACAGTGGACAAAGAAGAGTTCGCCATGAGTATGATTGGAGCAAAAGGCCCCCCAGTACTTAAATCTAGAAATACCAATGCAATGTGGCCTTCATACGTTGCCTTTCGTGGTATAAAGCAATCATATATGGTTGTGATAGAAAGCGTGAATGGTCGTCTGTGGACATGCCAAAGGGGCTTTTTCTTTCCATCCAATATATATCATCTTCCCATGTATGGTGTTATACCCTTAGCCAATGATGGTGATTATGATATCGTATCACAAGACGGTGTAGTAGACGGAAAAGAAGAAATATCTACTGCTTCCGGTGATTCACAAGGAAGTGGTTTCCTTCCAATGTATCCAAAGGAGGGCAAATAAAGATAGCTTGATATTTAACTGAGAAATCTCCCCGTAACCATTTCACTATACAATGCTCTCCCTCTAAACAAAAGTGGAGGAGAGTACATGCAAGTATTGGAAATGACACTGGAAAATAAAACTGTAAGTATTAGATAATGTTTTTCTATCTCGGGTATCAACGAGCTAGCGAAACCTAAAAACTGTAGGGGGTTGAACGATAATATACAAGTAAGTTTTCAAGATGGTGAGAATATCCGTGTCGTATTCACCTTTGGTGAGACTTCTGGAACTTTTGAAATTTATTCGCCGCGGAAAACTCACAGATTTGCGATTTCACCTCCTTCATTTTATCGTTTCTGGGCGTTAACCACCCCTGGGAAAATTGTTACGGCAGTAGAGTGGTACTGGTTGTAAAGCGCGACTTGCCCATTAACTACAGAAATCCCTGTAATTTAATCCTGTTTCCACCCTTTCACTTAGAGCCTTTACACTTTAGTTAACTGGTATGGCACAAAAGCGTAAGCGTGTGTTCCCTGGAAAGCACAAGCAAGTAATGCATACCTAAACTACTGTTAGAGAGACGGTCCAAAAGCGATTTGTATAAGCCAACACGGTTAAGAAACGCCATGCAAAATATCCAAATGCACGCACTTAGCCAAGCAGTGTACACTAGATCTGGAAGGCACGACCTACAGTGGCTCAACGGCCGTCACAAAATCCCGTCAAAAGTGTGTTACCAAGTGTCGAAATAGTTAACTAGGACATTCTTGGATAGCCCCTTCATGCGTCGTAAAACACACTGCCTGAAACTTGTCATATCTCCTTATGCAATGACGTACCAGGCCTTACATCATATATTGACTTGGATGTTTCTGTAAAGAATGGCACCATTATCAACTTCATGTAAAAAGAAGGCAAAAGCGCCCTCTACACCAAATAAGATTTCTTTTTGAGGTCCGGTAATCCGAGACATTCTGCAATTTGTCTCTAGTTGTACAACGAGGAACTCGATCGTCCCGTTAAGAAATTTAGATTTACAGCAAAAAATATGTTTATTGATGGCAGCGTTAAACCGTATAAGACACTCCAACGAGACCGTTTTTATTCCCATGATAGGTTCACCCCATATACCATCGAGGGATCGCAAGGCTACTGGAATATCTATAAAGACTCGGTCATAATTTATTCGCATTTCCATGACATCCCTCTGCGGTACTTCCAATTTTTACCCTGTCCTAAAGAAAAATACACAAGCCTATTTATAACAAAAATGGCTGTAAGTGTTCCACACATATATGAGATGATGACTTATCCTCCAGGACAAGGATAATATGAAGGTAGGCTGTATACCTTGAATAGGGTGGGGCGGTTTCAGTACAGTTTTAACTTGCGGGTTTTCTTGAATGGTAAGTCTGTTTTCAAAATCACCCTTTATGATTTCGCGGGTAAAGTGAGGGGCAGAGTAGGAGAGATAGTATATAAAAACGATATGTTTGAGGGTGACACAACTAGGTGCTCAATTGATGTTGGGAGAAAATTTGACGTATTCAAGATATACGTAAAGGTCGCTTCAGACATGTCGATAACAGGAATGGTTACTTTCGGTAATTGTAAATACAAACCCAGTCTTGTCACCGTACCAAACATTCTCACATTTCATAAAGTTGAAGGTGATGTTATATTCGCCGTAACTACCGAAGAAAAAGTAGAGCCATAACTATTGTTCAAAGGAAAATGGGGTTTATGGTAGTCGACGAATTTAAAGGATTGCCTTTGTGACGCTGGGTACTTATAGGAAGTCAGAATATGCAATTCACCCATTCCTCACCCCATGTCTAGTGGCTGCGATGGTGAAATCAACAAAAAAGTTTAGTGTTCTCTGTCAAATTGCCCATCAGTTGGCAGCCCTTCTGATTTTAAGACTGCGGTGCATAGGAAAAGATTAAAAAAATTGCCCCCACTAATAGAAGCTAATATAGGAGATTAAATTAACATAGTGCCAAAATATGATAAACAACGCCTTAAGAGTGAAGGTTTGTTCTATTGGGACATCAATGGTGAGCGTACTAATAATACTGATATGGATCTGAATCTAACAATTACTGCTGAAAGTTCTGGCATTTATAGATATGTCTTCGGATTTATCAATGATTTGTACGAAAGAGAAACAGAAATATTATATACTTGTTTCATTGTAGTTTCAACGAATTAAAGCGTGTCAAAAGGAAGACAATTCAACCTGCATCACAACGGCGATTATTTGGACAAAGTCTTTCCCAATCAGAAGCTTATGATAAACTGGTATTACGAAAAAGAGATCTTTGCAATATTCCCCTTCACCAAGTACCCGATACTCATTACGCCCATGGAAGGATTATGGGAATGCGATATATCCTTCAAAGGCGCTGATTTCGCATTCCCTACGGCAAGGATTTATTTCTACTTTGACGACCGATCGGAAATCCTCACTATTTATGGCATTGTTTCAGGTGCGCAAGCGTAAACCCGGTATGTTGTTGAGGCTTTCATAGTTCTGGGCTTTAGAATACTCCTTTTGGCTGCCGCTGTTGCTACCTATGGTTACTGCGCGGCGGCGTAGTCTAAAACCTAAGAGGCCCAAGTAGACAGGGCGCTGACTTGGGTGCTGCAGATAACCAGTATGCACCGATGCCATAGGGTATAGAGTAAGGTGTCGGTGCTAGCTAGGGGACATAATATGGTATCGGGTGCTAGCTAGGGTACTATGGTATCGATGCTAGCTAGGGTACATAACTATGGTATGCTAGCTAGGGTACATACTATGGTACCGATGCTAGCTAGGGTACATACTATGGTATCGATGCTAGCTAGGGTACAAACTATGGTACCGATGCTAGCTAGGGTACAAACTATGGTACCGATGCTAGCTAGGGTACATACTATGGTATCGGTGCTAGCTAGGGTACATACTATGGTATCGGTGCTAGCTAGGGTACAGCTACTACTAGGTATACGGTATCGGTGCTAGCTAGGGTACACAATACTATGGTAT